AACAACATGAACAACACAGCAGGGTGTGCATCTGTCATCATATGATTGGTAGGGGTCATGACTGACTAGAAGACATCTAACAACAAAGGTGGTTTATTTATTTATTTTAATTATTATTATTTGTTATGTGTGTACCATCAAATCGGATCTGACTGGGACAGGAGGAGATTGTCCTTCCTTCTTCAGCAGAGGATCTGGTGGATTTGAACCACACACCTCTGGGCTTCAAAGCTGTTTTTTAAAGTACTGCCCATATTAACATTTATCTACTCATTCTCAAAAGACTAAAGATTGATATGTTCGAATATTATCAGAAGACTGTGCTGTGAACAGTAAAGACAACTCAAAAAACAAAAATTCTTACCTTTGTTATAGTTAAACAGAATTACTTTGAAAGAGATATCACAATGAAAAAATCAATTTCTTTTTCAAATCACAATTTTTAAAAACAAAGACATCATCACATTTTTGGATGTGTAAAAAGAATATTTTGCATTCACTTATAAAATGCAACAAGAAACACATATGTATATACTGAACAAAATTTCAGGATACTCATTTTTCGGCTGTCTGAGAGAACACTAAAATTGGTACACTTTCTAATTGGCTTGCTTTTAACATTCTTGTGACAATTCATATTAAATAAATAATATTCCTTAAAAATGTTATGCATTGTGTATCCAAAGAAATGCATGTATCAATAATGAATTCAACAAATATCTATAAATATTTATTTGGCTTTCAAATATGTATGTATTTAATATCAAAGCAGATACTTCTTTTTTCTTATTGACTTTTTAAATTGTGTCCTATACAGTCTTTAATTTTCATTATATCTTGTTAATTTATATTGTGTGTTTGCTTTATTTCCTCTATTACAATCACTCCACCAAGAACTATTTTTGTGAAACCGTGTAGCCAGCTACTTCATGTCTCTTGCCCTAACATCCCCCTTTTACATAGCCAATTACCTATTTGCCCATCTCTATAGATGGTGAAGAGATTGAGATTGTTAACAGCTTTAGTTTGCTTGGCTCCGCAATCAACACTCTTGGTACCAACAGACAGGAAATTAAAAGAAAAATTTCATTGAGAAAGTCAGCTGTCAGAGACCCCTCCAAGGTACTGAAGAGCAACGATGTAAGTCTAGAGACTAAGGTACTCCTGATCCAGACCATAATCTTTGCAATTACTTGCTATGCATCGAAAAGCTGTACAATGATTAGGGATGACAGAAGGAGAGTTGATGCTTTTGAGCTGTGGTCCTGGAGAAGAGTATTGAATATACCATGGACTGCTAGAAGAACAAACAAGTTTGTCTTAGAGAAGGTGAGACCAGGCTGCTCCTTGGAGGTAAGGATTCTGAAATTCCTGTGCTATACTTTGGGCATGTTGAAAGGAGGGACCAGTCCTTGGAGAGGTTGACCAACACTTGACCTCCACACTTCGGAGGATGGAGAGACAGCGCAAGAGAAGTTGACCAACAATGAGATGGATTGATTCAGTGACTGGGGTAATGGGGGTCGGTGTATCAGAGACAATGAGATTGGCACAGGATCTATCCTGTTTAGGGCTTAGGGCTGTTGTACATAGGATCGCAGGCAAAACGACGGCACATAACAACGAAGCAGTTGGCAAGAAGCTGCGCTGCAGTCCTAAAGCCAAGTGTTCGAGGCCACCAACTGCTCGGTGGGAGAAGGACGGACAATCTCCTCTTACGCAATTGACTGCCTCTCAACACCCACCGGAGGGTCAGCCATGGGTCAGTTCCGTCTCAACTCCCGGTACACACCACCCCCACCAACAATGAACCAGTACTCTGAGGAAACAAGCATGTCGCTTTTGTTGAAGGATTCTCTTCAATTTAGAAACTCTGAGTATCAAGCAGATGCTTCGTAATGTAGACCTTTATCTTCTCAAGTAAAACCTTTTGAAATTTTCTGTATGAACATCCTTTCAGTTGTATTGGTATAAAAAAAATAGATTATTCCTTATATTAGTAAAAAATGACACATATAGGCTCTCAGCAAGCATTTATTTGTGCTTTAAAAAGCTTTATTTTTATTTGAGTGCAAGTTTACAGATATTGGTTTTTCAGCCAATCATTAATACACATTTTGTTGTATAATACTAATTACAATTAATAAATGTAATTTATTGGCATGTCTGATAATCCCTTTATTATAATGTAGATTTCCTTCATCCAACTTCATAAGTGTATACTATTTATAAATTATCTTCCCTTCCTTCTCCCTCTCTTCCTCTACAGGAACGATTCCTGTGTAAATAAGCACTTGATTTGAAATGAATGAAGAAATAACTCGTTTCCATGGTCATAGGGCTCAAAAGAAAAAAAAAACCCCAAACCAAAACAACAAAACTACTACCAGTATTACTTCCTAGAGGATTTTCACAAATCTTGCTGCCATCGGCGCCGCTGGTGTAGTGGTATCATGCAAGATTCCCATTCTTGCGACCCGGGTTCGATTCCCGGGCGGCGCACTACTTTTAACTTTCCCATTAAAGTGAAATCGATGGAACTATTCAATAATTCCATTTTCTTCAAGAACTTTTAATATCACTGCAACTTTCTATTTCACTGAGGTATTATTGACTTGTATGATGTTTAAGTTGGAAGACATGATCGTTACTGCACCCTTGCAATGGTTAAGTCATGCGTCTGCGCAGTCTGGCACATCCCTGGTCAAGAGTCGAAGCGCGGCTGCGCAACAAGTTAACCTATGGATTGAGGTGTAGTCTAGCTGCCCGGAGGTTGAAACATGCATGATTTTCTGCGCCTGCGCTGATCGGGTCACTTGGCTGGCGGCTCCAAGGCTCCCGGTTCTCCGCCATCTTGTTTTGAGGCTTCATTGTTCTCACTGGGCTGGCCGGTTTAGTGTAATTGCCGCCAAAGGAGGCGGAGTAACCTCTGGCCAGCCGAGGAACCCCGCTCTCCCGCAGCCATTGCCGTTCAAAAGGTTAGGGTGGTAGTAAAGGGTAGGGACCTGGACCCGGAGGCCCCGCCGCGACCGCAGCAGCCATGGAGGACGAGATGCCCAAGACTCTGTGAGTCTGGGACAGCTGTGAGGGGACAGGGATGGGGGTCAGCCGGGGAGGGTTTCCTCGGCCCAGCGTCGCTCCCCAGCCCTGTGTTGACCGTGGACGCGGTGGGACCGTGGGTCCTCCCCTTACACACGTGTGGATTCTGAGAGGACGAGGGGAAGGGGAGCAGAGCCCCCCCGAATTAAGCCCTTGGGCTCCGCTGCCCCTTCGCGTGGCCTTGGCTTCGCCCGGGCTCCTTTGCAGCTGGAGACTTGACGAAACCGCTTTTCATTCAAACTTCATCCTAGGACTCGGTGATCCTTTCTTTTGTCCCCATGTTTTCTTTTCCCGCCCCCTCCTCCCGGCTGAACTCTTCATCTTTAAATCCTTCGTTCTTTCATTCTACTCTTATTTCCTTTTACACTCTTCATTTCTTTTTCATTAGGAATTTTTTACTTGGGACTGCTGGTACTTTTAATCAGGGAAGCTAATGTTCACAATTGTCAGTTGGGGCAGAAAGCCAAATATTTTTATTTAACCGTTCTTTAGATTTCCTTCTGTAGCATCTTCCTCTCCTCCAAATAAAAAGCAACCAAAAAGTTAACCGAAAAATGCAAGGATTTTGAAACTGCCTTTTAAAAATGGGCATCTCACGCAAAGGTATTCATCGACAGAGGGGAAGTGGACTTAATATACTTTTATAATCCCTTGCTGGTAGTGATTGACATGTTACTAAGGAAGAGAGTCGCTTTTATGAGGAAATCGGTAAATAATATTTTTGGGCAAGTCTGAATTTTTGGAGGTGACGTTAGTGATCTCATCTTGGAGTGATTTCTTTGTCAGTAACTTCCCAGTGTTCTCCTTTGTTTTTCGTGATGAAGTGAACCCGCCTTTGTTGCTTTTTTCAAAAAGAAAGAGCCCAAATTAATTCTTGATGGTAGCTCTTTGTTTCACTCCTGTAAAACTGGCAGTTTGAGAAATCTGTGCATTATAAATGCCATCTCCGATTTCTTTTTGTGACTTTATCAGTGTTTTTTGGCTCTTACTGAACTACAGTGTAGTGCTATTTTTTTTCATCTCTGAAAAAGTTTTAATACTTGTCATTTATATGTGAAATAGTCATATTCTCATTTAAACAAAACTCCCATTCTTACAGCTAGGCCAGTCTTGATCGTATCCTTCATACAGACTACAAATACCAAAACGGAAGCTTTTTCTTAACAAGTTATTAAATGTCCTACTTATCTATCTGATTATCTGCTAGTTACCTTAAAATAATACTTTTAGTAGGATGTAGCAAATTAGTAATGACCTATCTTTCTCGAAAATTTTTCATCTTCCAATTATTTGAAAACACAAACCCCCATAACCTTTCAGACAGTACCAACTCATTGATATCCTATAAAACAGAACTGACCCATAGGGTTTCCAACACCGTCATCTTTACAGAAGCCAACTGACCTTACTCCCACAGCACTGGTGAATATGAACTGCCAACAGTTTAATCACTACCACCACCAAAACTCATGTAGATTAATTTAATTGTTCATTGCCTTGGAGTCAGAACCAACCCATAACTGACTCTCCAGTGGGTAAACACAGCTGGCAAACTGCAAGGAAGCTGATGGCCTGTCTTTCCCATGAAGCAGCTGGTGGATTTCAACCACTTGCCTTTGGGTTCGCAGCACAATTCCTTATTACTGACAGGGATTTAGTAAGTATTGTTTATCTCTTGGCTAGAAGTATGATAACCAGAAGTATATTGGGTTAAGAACTGTTTGTCATATGTCTTTTTAAGACACTGACTTACTGAAGTTTTTAATTTTTCTGGAGCTGCCAAAATAATCAGGAAATGTAAGCTTTCAGCACTGTGATTTAGGAATAACAAAGTTGCCATTGAGGCAACTTCAGCTCCCTCAGGCCAGCCTACAAAAGCAAGTAGTTTGAGTGCAGGGGACCATCCATTGCAGGAGAAAATATTAAAGGCAGTTTTAGTCAATACACAATCACTCATTGCTGGTTAAGTGTATTACTTAATCCATTTAATCTTCATAAGCACTCTGAGGTATAAAATTTTGTTTTGCAACTACTAAAAAAAAGCTAAGCATGGAATTGAAGTAACTCACCATAAGTCATGTACCTTTCTGTTTGTTAAAACCACATTTATGTTATCATTTACAGAGTATTCTCTAAATTTCTCATGCTTCTCCCTCCCTTAACCAGAATTCCCATTCTTGCAGTTGGTTGGGCCTGTATGGAGTTGGGGTGGGAGGTTGTTATTGTGGTTTTCTATTTAATCACAGAACATGGTGGTACTAAGAGACAACCTTAGAAATCTTATATTCCAGAAATAACTTCATTCTCATTATATATAATCAATTCCATTTCCCTTTGGTAATCAGACAATACAGTAACTCTCTTCTTTGCTTGTTTTTTTAAGAGTTTCAGGAAGCCCAGAGTGATTGATTGGGCGATGTTCTTTACTTCCAGTTCCCTGGAATCATTCTTGTCTCCAAATAGGAGTTCCCTCCCTTTAAAAAGAACTAAAACTTCCAGACCCACACACCATAGCATTGCAGAGATAAGAAGCAAAATTTTTCAAATATGCCACTATGGGTCATAAGGCTGTTGCCTTCTTGTTTCCACTCTGTTTTTAATTGTGATTTCAGTGGCTATTTACAAAGAAATTGGTTATTCATTCACATACATTTTCCTTCCTATCCTTCCCCAATTCAATTTGTAATGCATGTCCTAGTCTACATTGTTAATTGCCAGATAACATGTATTCATCCATTCCTGTCAGAATTTTTTTCAGACTTTTCCTTTAATTTGTTTATTATCTATTCATTTTTTTCCTATTCTCCTAACCCCTGTAAGCATTCTGTTATAACAGTGGTCTTTTGTGAATGAGGTATTTGACTACGCATAGACGGTGTTATGTAATATTCCACTGCGTGAATATACCACAGTTTCTTTATCCATTTCATTTGTTGATGATTAGTTGGGCTACTTCCATCTCTTTGCTGTTGTGAATAATGCTGCAATAAACATGGTGTGCATATACCTATTTGTGTCACAGTTCTGATTTCTTTAGGTTATATTCCTAGTATAAGTGCAGTGTCTGGGTCAAACAGTAATTCTATTTTCAACTTTTTGAATAAGTGCCAGACTGCCTTCCCTCTTGTGGTGGTTGTTGGTGGTGCTGTTGGTAGGTGCTGTTGAGTACTTGACGCTATGAAAAACAGATCTGAATCCCTACCTACCCTGTGCTATCCTCACAATTCCTGACACACTCAAGAGAGTCCTTCACCGACCCTCCACCCTTCTAGCATCATGTCCCTCTCCAAGGAATAGCCCTTTCTAACAACTTGCCCAAAGTATGTGAGGCTGCACCCTCTCCAAGACATCTATTCTCTTGGCTGTCTGTGGGATGCACAGTGCTCTCCAACACCACAGCTCAAAGGCATCAGTTCTTCTGTCATCCCTGTTCATTGTCCAGCTCTCAGATTCATAGCAAGTGATTGGAAAGACCATGACCAGAATCAGATGCACCTTAGTCCTCAAACTGAAATCATTACTCCTGAATAATTTGGAGAAGTCTCTAACTGCAGACTTTTGCAGTATACTGCATCTCCTTATTTCCTGACTGCTGGTACCAGGGTAAGATGAAGTTGTTGACACTTTGTCTTTTCTCCATCCATCATGATGTTGTTTGTTGGTCCAGTGGTAAAAGTCTTTGTTTTCTTGACATTGAGATGCAATTCATACTAAAGGTTGTGTTCCTTGATCTTCCTCCTCAGTTTCAGCATGCAGGGTTCTCTCATCTGCATAACACAGGTTATTGATGAGTCTCCCTCTGATTCTAATGCCACATTCCTCTTCATAAAATCCACCTTCTCCAATAATTTACTCAGCATACAGATTGAATAGGTATGGAGAGAGAATACAAACCTGATACACTCCCTTCTTAATTTTAAACCATGCAGTGTTTCCCTGCTCTTTTCATAAAATAGCCTCCTCCTGGTCGAGTTGTAGCTTTCTCATGAGCAAAATTAGGTGCTCTGGGACTCCCATTCTTAATGTCAACCACGACTTGATATGATCTGCACAGTCAAATGCCTTTGCATAGTCAATAAAGCACAAATAGACATTCTTCTTATATTCTCTCAGCCAGGATCCACATGACATCAGCAGTGATAACCCTAGTGCTATATCCTCTTCTAAATCCTGCTTGGACTTCTGGCAGTTTCAGTTCTAGCTGGTTTTTAATGATCTCAAGTAGTATTTTGCTTGCGTATAATATTAGTGATTCCACATTCTGTTGGATCACCTTTCTTGGGAATAGGAACAAATATGAACCTCTTCAGTCTGTTGGCCAGACAACAGTCCTCCAGATTTCCTGGCATAGGCTAGTGAATGCATCCAGGGCAGCATCTGTTAATTGAAACAAGTCATTTTATATCCCAATTATTCATGGGGTCTTATTTTTTGCCAGTCTTTCAATGCAGCTTCCACTTCTTCATTACTATTGGCTCATGCTCATATAGTATGTGCTGAATTTTTTCAGTGTCAATCAGTTCTTTTTTGGTACAGTGATTCTGTGTATTCCCTCCATCTTTTGATTGTTTCTGGGTCATTCAGTATATTGCCCATAACATTTTTCAATATTGTGTGCAACTCGAGGATTAAGTTTGATTTTCAGTTATCTCAGTTTGAGAAATGCAGGAGCTCTGGTGGCCTAGTGGCAAGGAGCTGCAACTACAATCCCAGAGGTGCACGGTTCGAATCCACCAGATCCTCTGCCAGGAAAGGAGGGACAATCTCCTCCTGTACCAGTCTGATCTGATTTGATGGTACACTCACCCAAAAATAATAAAAGTTTGAGAAATGCAGAGTGAGTTGTGCATTTTATTCTCCAATTCCAGCTCTCTGCACTTTCCATTATAGTTTTCTTTGTCTTCTTGAGCTGCCCTTTGAAATCTGTTCAGCTCTTTTACTTCCACATGTTTTCTTTGTGTTGGCTT